GTGAACTTGCTGATAGTGAGTGTCTGCAGCAAAACAGGAGGTTTAAGGAGGGATAAATCTGATGAAAACAATTCCTAATAATGTCAATGATGATTTTTTTCCTTATGTTTTCTTCCTTTTTTCCTCTGCCCTTTTTTTTTTTTTCCAGCTTGGTTGGCTGGGGTTTGGTTTTTAGTTCCCTGCCTTAGGAAGAATTAGTTTGAATATCCAGTAGTTTCTAAAGTGTTATAAAAATTGGTGGTATTAAAAGCTGAATTGCTCATTTATTCTTGAGTCTGCTGCTTCTCAGAAAAAAAAAAAAAAAAAAGTAAAGGAAAAGAAAGTGCCCTGCAGAGTTGATCTCTGGTGCTTGAGAGATGTAGTAAGTTTTTCACAATCCTTAATAAATTGATACCATAGGCAAGAAACCTGGAGACCCAAAGTACGATACACACACAAGCACTTCTTATTTTAGTAGCATGAACCTGGAGCTCATATTTGGATAACATCCCTGTCAGAGGCAAAAGGGAGGAATCAAAATCCTTACCTAGGCAGAATGCATATTGACTTCAGGGGATACTTTTTCCCAGAGAAGAGTTGTGTAAAGAAGGTCAGGACTAGTTATTTGTCCCCTGCAGCAATGATGTTTCTCTTGCTGAGGAAATTTCCAGCACCTGTGGGCATGGACTTCCACTGGAAAATTCCAGCATTCAGGTGAACTGATGGTCAGTCTCACCTTGACCTTCATCAGGCTGCTTCCATCTTTTCTGCGTATCAGCTTCAGAGATAAACAAAATAAAACAAGCAGTAAAAATTATAAAGCTGAGGCAGAGGCCACAGGCTGGGTTTCCAGCCATTGAAACCTATTTCTGCAGTAGCTGCTGAAAGGTAAAGCTTATGCCAGCACAGCCTGCCCATCCATTAACAAACCCTTAGCTCAGTAGTGTGGGGCTTTGAGTAAGGTCTTTTAACACAGACCCACCATGGGGATTTGAGGAGAAAGGAACAGCCAGTAACTCACCAATGTCAGTGCTGTGTCTTGCTTGCATCACCTCCAGCTTTTCTTCTCCCTGATGGAACTAGGCAGCAGAAGATCCTTAGCCCAGAACAGGTGAAAGCCCCTTGCTGTACCACCACTGCAATGGGCCTTGGGTTGAAACCATCCCTCAGGACAGGGACAGCAGCCAGCTGGAAGAGCGTTTGCCAACAGCACTATTGATCATCAGCTGCCTGTAGCCTAAAGCAACTTTTTCGGACAGCTAAAATTGCATCTGATTTCATAACAGACTCCTCTGCAGTCCTCATCACTTTGCCTGCTCTCCTCCCCCCGAAATAAAAAATAAACCACGCACACCACAACCATCAAACCCACTCCTTTGCCCTGCGATGAAGAGTAAAGTGGCTCTGAAAAATAACCTGATTTGCCACCTCCTCCCGCAAATCCTGCTAGCCACCTCCAGCACCGGCCTCACTCTGCAGCAGCCCATAAGCAGGATCTGCAGCCAAGGAAAAGGAAAAGCTGGAGGAGGAGGGAGGGGGAAGGCAGAGAGGCTGCTGCATACCTCGAAAGCCAGAGCTACTCCTGCTGCCCACCCTGGAGGCATCACCTCTGCATCAAGCGGGAGTAAGGGAGAATCTGCCTCTCTGGATTTAACAAGCTCACTTTCCTTTAATTGGGGCCCTCAGGCACTGCTGTAATGCACCTAATGGCACTAATCCTTAGTGAATCAGCCCTGATGAATAGCAAAGGCTGAACTGGCCCCTGTTTCCTCGGGTTGTCAGCCCTGCACTGGACCTACTGGATTTCAACGGGCAGGAAAGCAACTGCACAGATTTAAACAGGCCTCTGCAAAGGAAGGGGGCTGGGAGAGTCACTGGTATGTTTGTCCCTAAACTGTGCAAAGCAGCCACGGGCCAACAGCATCTCTCTGATTCTTCTAAGATGTAGATACAGACGCCCAAAAGTCCTTACTTTCACGCCGTCTCTCCCTGCTCCCTCCCTAAGGAGTAGCCTGTTTGCCCTCTTTACCATTCAGACAGCTTTTCCTCAGCTTTGTGTGCCCTGGCTGAAGCTTTCACTCCCAGCACAGGCCCGTTCCATCTTCCTGTTACAGCCTTTGAATGGGAGCAGATGGGAAAGGGACCTTTTTCCCCTTTAAAGCAAAAAAATATCGACCGCCACCACCCCAGCCCAGTGCTGGCACATTCTCACTGTGTCAGAGGGCAGCCCTTGCGGGCTGAGCAGCTCAGGGCTGAGCCAGGCTGCTAGAAGCTGGCGGCTGGCAAAGAGCAGTAGCTTGCCAAAAGCGGGCTCGGCCGGCCCCAGGGAGGGAGAACGGAGCCGGCTCCAGCGGCCCCCCGGGACTGCGGATGCTCAGTCGGCGCTGGGGAGGGGAATTAGGGCAGACAGAGCCGCAGTGGCTGCAACCGTCCCCGGTGATCCATATCCAGCCAGCTAGAAAAGCACTGGTTTGGCTTTCGGTTGAGCTGTGGGGTCTTTTTTCCTGTTAATCTGCATTTAGTCTTTTTTTCTTTTTCTTTTTTTTTTTTCCCTCCGTTTGTGTGCATTTTTTGTTGTTTAAGTAGGTGATAATTTTATTGTGGTTGCTGTCAACATTTAAATACTTTTCTGTTGCATTTTTCCTCCTCCCCAGTTCACCAGCTCACGTTTGCCCAGGAGTTAAGGGGTGTTCAGAGGCTTGAACCTCACCGGCTTTTGCCTGAGGCAACGGGACCAGACCAACAGGGGACACCCGGCCTCCCCCCCCGGCAGCCCTCTCCCTCCAGTCCGTGCAAACCCTGCAGATGCCGGATCACAAGAGGCAAACTGGGTACAGTCTGACTCTTTCTGGCACCTGGGGGAAAGCTCCTGTTTCCTTGGCCAAAAAACAAGGCAAGAACGAACAATCATCCCTATGTTAAATATATATGTATGTAAATCGATCATTGCACTCAGGCTTCAGAAATAACACCTGAAAGGGGCAGAAAGGGCAAGAACCAATGCCTTGCTCATTGAGGGGTTCTTATAAAATGAAGAGAGGGGAAAGGGCGGTGGAGGGTTTGTTAGTTGCTGCTGTTCCCCGAAAAAGATACCGAGCTGAGCCTGTGGGAGTGGGATTTGCTGCTGTCCATGCCGCCTGTGAGGGAAATCCCGGGGGTGCAATGCAGGGATTTAAGCAGCAAATGCCTCCTTGCGCCCCGGCTCGCCAGGAATGCCTCGGGGATGAGTGCCCGACAATTGGGAGCCCGAAACTGGATGCTCCCCGGGAGATGCCCGGAGCGGGGAGGGAAGGGGCCCGAGCCCGGCCATCAGACGCCTCTCGACCTGCTCTGTTGCTTTTCTTGCGTTTGCCACGGTTTTATTGTTGACCTCAGCGGAGGGCTAACTGTGGGGTGTGCTAATTATGGAGTAATAATTCTACCTCACGCGAAAACAACTCGAGTCCATCAACGAACTCAAAATCGCCTCCTTATCACGTAGTTTCAGCTTTCTCTTCAGCCTGAGGAGAAGCTGGGCGTCCCACCGTCCTCCCACGGACTGGCACAGTCCAGCAGCAGGGAAGATGAGGCCCGCTACCGGCGCCGAGCCGGTGGGTGACAGCTGCGGAGGGACTGGCGCTCGGTCCCCCCTGGGCGATGCTGCTGCTGCCGTCGGGGAAAGGGGAAAAGGTCCCCGGGGCCCAGGCAACGGAGCCCGCAGGCTGCGGAGCCCCTTGCACCCCAGCGAGGACTCTGTCTCTCTCCGGCAGCTGGCATTTGGTGCTACAGGAAATCGGAACAACCGCGCCTGACCTCATGAATACAAGAGATGTGCACAGAAAAATCAATTTAGGTCTAGATCCTCTATGGGGAGGGAAAATAACCCAAACCGTTTAAACAAAGCTCTGCTCTCCAGGGTTTTCCTTTTCTTTGGTGGTTGTGGGGAGTGAGTCTAGAGGGAGGGCAAAGGAAAACGAAATGCAAGCAGACCTGTGCCTGCCGAAGAGAGGCTGAGCTCTGCAAAGATACCCCCCTCCCCCCAATACAGGCATAATGTATTTTATCATTAAAAAATCAACATTGCTTCCAGTGGTAAAAGCGCCAGTCTCCAGTTCCTGAGCGCATTCGTTGCTGGGATTCAATCCGTTTGGGAAATGCAGATTGGCTTGCGACCCACTGTTTGATTTATGAACTGTTACATTTGCTATTGCTTACACATTACATTGCGGACCTTGGGAAGGGAGGGGAGCAGGGAGAGGGGGCAAAGGCGGGGGAGACCCTGCCACCCTACTACCCGTTGGCAAAAGAGAGCTACTGCACGGGCAACGGCTCCCCACCGGAATAAATCACCCCAAACCAGTTCGTGGCCCCTACCTTCCCATCACCCACTCACTCACCCACCCGCCCCTTGTCGCCAGCTGGGCTCTCGCCTTATAAGTAAAAAGGACGTGTTTACACTTTGGTGTGTATTTCTCCATAAAGGCATCAGGCGCCTATAAATAGCTGAGGTTAGAGCAGCTTCTGCTGTGAAATCAATACACCGTCCCCCCTTCCCCTTGCTCCTTCTGCGGAGCTGCCTTATTAATTATGAAAGGGCTCCTCTGCGCCCCGGCTCCGCAGCCTCCTCCTTAATGGTGGTTGCTGCTCGCCCTTCCTCCTCCGTCGGGGCTCTGCGCCCTTCCGCACCGCTCTGCGCCAGCGGGCCCGCCCCGCCGCGCAGCCGGGGTTCCCTTCGCCTGCTCCGTGCAGCTGGGAACGGGGTTGGAAGGTGGGGGCTGCAGTTTGGGGCGTCAGGAGGAGGAGAAGGAGCAGGGTGGGAGGATTTATAGCAGGCTTCTAAGAAAGAAATGAAAAGGGGAAAAAAAGTAAAAAAAAAAAAAAAAAAAAGGAAGGTTCCCACTAACCGATTGAGCTGCCCTGTCCTTGTGTGAACTCAAATTCCCCCTTTCATCAAGGGATCGGCTCGGGATTTAGCCCTCCTTGCCTTAAAAGCCCTGTCCTTGTCGAAATACTCTAGCCATATAAAAAGGACGACAGCCTCATTTCAAACAATAATTGTTTTATTTTATACTTCAGTCTATACTTTGTAGCAAATCTTTTTTTGTTATTTTTTTGCTGAATTGACTTTATAATAAACTTTTGTTTAAATTACATTTTTCTTCTCTTTTAAAATCAAGGCTCTTTTTTTCAAAACCATTTTGCTGTTGTTTTTTTTTCTTTTTTTTTTTTCTTTATTTTTACATTTAAGCCCCCTTTTTGTGATCTCTACGGTTGGATATTCAGGTATTTTACTGATATGTGTAACATCTAAAACAAAGAGGAGGAAAAAATTAAAGGCAGTGAATTCGGAAAGATGCCTTCGAACAGCAAGTAAAGGTAAACTCTCAGAGATCTGTTAGCAGCATTCCTTCACTCCTCCGGGCATTCAGATACATCTTTTCTGTCGCTTTTCCCTTCCTTCCTTAACTGTTCGTTTCCTTCCCCCCCCCCCCCTCTCTCCCTCTCGCTCGCTCTTTTCTCCTTGAGGAAAAATGCTCTCTTTTTTTTTTTATTTTTATTTTTTTTTTCAGTGGAATGACCAATAAAACAAGCGACTGTGGAGGAAAGATGAGAGATTGTGAATTATTCACCATATGCTTCACACGTGGACATCTCCCTTGGACTCATCGCCCGTGCCATTTTTGTGTTTGGCTGCGGTTTTGCTCTCGCCCCGCACCCTGCCGCACTTTCAGGGGGACCGTGGCTGGCCGGGAGGTAGCCCGGCCGATTTACAGCCTTAGCGCCTTAGCGTTAGGTGGCCCAGAGCCGTTCCTGAGATTGCTTTTGCACAACGAGGGCTCGAGTTTGGTTATTATTATTATTGTTATTATTAATATTATTTTTTTCTATTTTTTTGATTCGAAGCGATAGTAAAGCTGAGGTCCGATTCGGGCTGCGCGCCGCTGCCTGTTTGGTAACATTTGGCAAATAAAACACAAAAGGAAAAAAATAATAAAGGGAGAACGCTTCCACAGTCCTACACGGGTGTTTCACCACCATCAGCCACCACCACCACCATCACCAGCATCAACCACAGAAAAGCACAACGTCCCCAGAGCAAGGGATGGACACTTCCTCTATAGATCCAGCACGGGGGGGTGTGGGTGTGAGTGTGCTCGCCCCCCTTAGAAAGGCAGCCAGGTCACTAGCGCGGCCCCCAGGGCCGCCAGGAGCAGGGGCAAGGGCGGCGGAAGCAGGGACCGGGCCGCGCCGCTGCCTCCTCCGCACAGTTCAAATAAGCTGCCTTGGAAATCGAGGTTTTTGGATTCCCGTCTCAATTTCTCCCAGAGGTCTGTCGCTCCTTCCTGGCAATCCGTGAGCGCTGTGAGGGTGCACGCGTGGAAATCATCCCAGTACCTGCAGTTGGGGAGAGCAGCCGGCATCAAAACAGGCACGCAACCACCTTCCCGCAAACACCTTCCCGCACACCCTCGGGCCCGCCGTCCGCCCACATCCCTCTTACCCCCATGCGACAGCAGGGACATGCCTGAAAGGGGGGATGGCGCCCGGGGGGGGGAGGAGCCGCCGGCTCCCCCGCCCTAAAACCCTGCCCCTGCTCCCCCTCTCCCCGCTGAGACACCGGTTTCTAAGAGGGAACCTCGGCCCCTGTTCCACCTGCCCGGGGCTGCCCCACAGTCCTCCCCGAGAGCACGCCTTGCGCTGGGCAAAGGACCCCCCGCCCCTGGCTGCGTTTTCAGGGGTCCCCTCTCTCCACCCCCGCCTTCGGCAGCAGCCCGGGCTGGGTGTGTGCGGCTGTGTGTGCAAGCGCTGCTTTGCTAGGTCTCTTCTGGAGGGGATCTTTGCCTGATTGGAGCGGGGGATGCACCCTCAGATGTCAGACGCCAGCCCAGGAGGCCACAGACTCGTACCGAGGGTTCTTCGTCACCGGTGGGAGCGAGTAGATGGGAGCAGGAAAGGCATCGCTTTTCCCAGGCGGGAAGGGGTATGCTGGAGAGTCCCGGTGTGGCCTTAGAAGCCCCAGGGAGGGATGCCCAGGGACGGGAGGGGGCTGAACGGGTAGGCAGGAGGAGAAAAGGAAAAGCAAGGAGCATCTTCCCCTTCTGGTCCAGAAGGGTCCCTCCTGGCCATCCCGCACCGGCCCGCGGGAGGGACTCCTGATCTATGGCCAAGGGTCTAAAGGCAGCGAAGGGTTTCCCCTTCACTAAGATAATTTCCAGCTCTTCCCACATGTATTTTTCCTTTTTCTTTTAATTCCCTTTTTCACGTAGACTGGACCAGCGGTTGCCGCAGGGTCAGGACCCGTCCCACTGCCCCACCTCTTGGGGGGGGGGGGGGGGGTGTGTGTGCAGGAGGACCTTTCTACTCCACATCTGTATTATCGAATCTACCCCGAATCTACTTTCTGCCTCCTATTTTCCCCTTGCCTCAAGGCAGGCGCCTGCAAATTTAGATCTTGATTTTCTTTTTCTCTCTCCTCCTCTCTCTCTTTTTTTTTTAAGTAGTCCTACAGTCACTAATTTATGAGCACTCTAAGCTGGTTGTAGACTCCCAATGTTTGCTACATTTGTAATAAATAATGAGATACTGAGAAGCCAGAGTCTGAGAGTGTGCCTCTCCTGCAGTATTTCTGCTGTAATTGCATCTCCCAAAGGAAAATTAAATCTTTCCCCATCTTCCTTCAATACATATCCCGGCACAGGGGGAAGGCAAGCGGGTGGTGGGAGGTGGTCGGGAAAAGGGGCTTGGTTTTTTACTGGTCAAGGCGATCCCTGGTCCGGCAGTCCAGGGCTAAAGGACATCATATTAGGGCACTACTGCCCCTGAGTATTTGCCTCTCATGCACTATAAAAGGTAAACCACAATCCAGCATTTACAGAGCGGTGCTGGACTTAGTAGGTGCCTGACTCAGAAATCTCTAGGTAGGAAGAGGGTTACAGAGCCTCTTCTACCTTTTTTTTTCCTCCTTTACTTCTTTATTTCTTTTTCTTTTTTTTTTTCCTTTTTCTCTTTTTTTTTCCTTTTTCTCTTTTCTCTTTTCCCCTTTTCTTCCTTTTATTAATTTTCTTTCTTTTCTTTTTTATTATTATTTTTCTTCTCCCCCCTTCCCTTTTTCTCTCACCTCACTTTTCCTTTTCTTGTCTGCTTTTTTGATTTTCGCGAAATAAAATGAAAAAAAAAACCAACTCTATTCCAAACATATTTATGCCTAACGACCTTATCTCGTTTCTAAATTTGATTCTCTTTTTTTGCTTGGTTTTGTTTGTTTGGGGGTTTTGTTTTTTTGTTGTTTTTTTTGTTTTGTTTTTTTTTGGCATTTTTTATGTTTGTTTTTTGGTGGGAGAGTTTGTGCTGGAAAACAGCAGTGAGGAGACAGGAGAATAACCCAGTGCAGCCTTTTTGGTTTTATTTTTTCCCCCTTGACGTATGGAAAAGGCCTGGTTTTGCCTCCCTGCCCGGGACGCTGGACCCTGCATCGAGTAGGTGAGACCGGAGCTGGGGGCCACAGGCCCCTGGCAGCTTCCCCAGGTTTCCCCTTCCAGGGTAAGATCCACTACCCTGAGCTCTGGGGAAGAATATCCCAAATTTAGGTCTCACCCACCTGCCCCAGTTTCTTCAGCTTCGAAGGGAAATTGGGAAGGAGAGGAGCAGGAGCCGATTTTGCAAGGCTAGCTCTTTTTCTCCTTTTTTTTTTTTTTCCCCTTGTTGTTTTCCTTTTTATTAGTAAGTATTACTATTCCCTTTTATCGTTCCTTTTCCTTCTCCTTCCCTCTGTGGCAGGAGCGGGACAGAACTGGGTTAGAATGGGCTTTCCTCGGAGGCGCAAAGGGGTTGAGGAGAGCTGCTGTTGGGACGACAGCTCCTCTGCCACTGGGAGATTAACACTGTGGTTCGTCTCTTTTCGTTTTAATAACATGTCTTTTCGCGAGGAATGGCCCCCCCAGCAACAGAGAATGCTGCCTTTCCCGGGCCTGCCTCTGTCCTGAGCGCCGGAGCATGCCAGTGAGCTTAGGGCCCAAAGGCAGCAAAAAGGGAAGGGACCATAGTCCCCGTGCAGTTACTGTCAGCAAGAGGAGGGGGAAAATACAAGCGGCGAGCTAAGGAGGGGGGAAATAAAATAAAAATAAAATAAAATAGTAAAAGAGGAGAAAACCCCAAACAAACCCAACACAGGCTCACAAAGGGAAAAAACCTAAAAAAGGCATTCTAAAAACTCCCTCCAGACAGCACCGCTCCCCAAGCCCGCCTGTCCCTATGGCAGTGCACTTGAAGGGACCCCAGAGCAGAGATTCCAACCCTAAAAGCGCCAAACCCAGAGTTACTTCTGTGGCTTCCCTTCCCACCGCCATCATCCAGCTTCTCCCCGCTTGCCAGCCCCGAGTGAACCCCTCGTCCCGTTCTCCCCCCGCGGCCCCGAAGGAGAGAGGAAAGACCTACGCGCAGATCGTTTGGAGATTTCTCTTGTCGTCCAGGTCCTGCGGGTAGTTGGCCATGTTATCGCCCAGCCGCAGCAAACAGTCCGAGAAGCCCCTAAAGACCGCATCGCACCGCCCCGCCGCTCTCACCGCCTGTACCAGGTACGCTGGGGGGGGGGGGGGGGCAGGGGCACAGGTCAGCAACGACGTCGGCTCCCGCCCCCCCGACCCCCACCCCGCCGACCGCCCTTCTCCCCCCAGCCCCTCAGGACCAAGTCAGGGTGGCCATCGGGGGGGCATTCGAGGACATGAGACGGGGGCTTTTAGCACAGGGGCGGGGGTGGGCGGGCAATGCCCGCGAGGTTGAATTCAGTCTTTTTTTTAGTATTATTTTATTTCCTTTTTTCTTCGCCCCACCCTATCTTTTTTCTTTTTCAATTTTGGGTTTCTTCCCCCCCCCCCCCCCCCCCCCAATCCCCTCCCCGTTTTAGGGGCGAGGCAGAGGGGAGGATAGGGGAAGATGCTCTGCCTGCTTCTCCCCGGACTTGATCCTTTGTTAGAAAATTGCGCCTCGAAGCAGCAGGCGCTTTTCTCCGCACAAACGCCGACGCACGCACACGCACGCACACGGCTCGTTTTCGCCCAGGCCGCTTGGGAAATACCGCTCAAGACACAGCGGGACTAGAAAAAATATAACAACAATAATGGGAACAAAATCACTAGAAAGAGCTGCCATAAAGACAGGAAAAGAAGCGACCCCAAAGATAGGCACTGAACTGGGTGCCCCTCCCAGGGGCAGCGGGGAGTGAAGGGGCAGGGGTGGACCCCTCTCCTTGAAACTTGCTGCCTCGGGCATCCTTCGGGATCTAGGCAGGAAACGGTGCTCGGTTAAACCCAGTAGTAGCAACCCCAAGAACAACCAACCGCCTGCAAACGGGGCAGGAAAATGACGGCGTGCGGGAGATGATGACTCCTCACGGGTGCCATCGGCTGCGGGGCCAGGCCCACGGGGGATGAGACGGACGGGGCTTGGGGACTCCGTCGTGTCCCCAGAACCTGGGCTCGACCCCGGGCGGCGCAGCCGGGATGGCACTGCAGCCAGCGAAGGTAAAGGGGGATCTTCCCCACTCCTCCTGTCGGAGGAGCCCCCGGTTGTTGGGGTGGAGGTCCCCTCTCGGCCTGTGTCCCCAGAGCATGGCTGTGGCACGGTATGAGTGTGTTTCCTGGCCGGGCACTGGTTACAAGCTAAATGGATGACTCCAAAAGCGACTCTTTCAACCCAGATCTCTCTCTTGCCGTTTGATTCATGGCTAGCATGACTTGGTGGCCACTCCCCTCTACACACACACACACCGGCACCAGCCGTCACATCAAATCCCCACAGGCAACAGACATTGGCTACTGGATAAAAAAACAGCCATGCAAACAAATAGAGAAGAACCGAGGACCATCCCGAGGGTAAAACCATGTCCTATAAAACCCGCGCCACCCGATGCCGGCAGCTGCAGCGGGAAAGGGGGGGGAAACTAGCCTAGGATTTCTTCCAAAATGTGACGGGCTGCTCTGGAAATACGGGGCCAAAGTGGAGCCCTGCCCCGGGTCGGACCCGGAACAGGGTAGGGGGTCGGGTTCGGGGGCAGAGGGACTCCGAGCGTGCCTGCGCCGCTCCCCCCCGCACGGGGTACCCCGGCCTAAAGCCGCCCCAAACCACACCAGTACCAAAAAAAAACCATTAAAAATGTAAAAAACAAATCAAGCACAGGCTGAGGAGAGCGTCCTGCGCTGTTAAACGGCAGCGGGATCTCTCTTGAACTAGGTCGCTTGTGCTCTGCCGTGGCCCCCACTTTTCCCCGCCCCCCTCCTTCAAAGACAGGAGCGTGCAGCAATTTGCAATGCAGCAGGAGCGCGGGAGCCATCCGTAAGGGACCTTGCCTCCTCCCGAAACCCACTCCCCTTCCTCTCAGTCCGCCTGCCCTTTGGCTGCGCTTGGTCCATTGCACCTGTCCCTGAGCGCCCGCCTCCGGGACTCGGTCGTTGCTCCCCCCCATCACCTCCCAGAATGTCAGGGATTCCGGACAGCTCCAAGTCCCTCTGCCCAAATAAATACATAAGCACATCAATAAACAATGTTTTCTTTTTAAGCCCCGATGCATAGACATATTGGAAACGAGCAGAACATCCATTTCAGCAGCTGCCGAGGACGGGGCAAAGGCAAGCTGCCCTTTGCAAACCCCACACCGACAACCACAAACTTGATTTCGGGGGCGGAGAAGGTTACCCGAAATACAGAAGGAGGAACAGAGAAGAAAGGAGCTCTCCACAAGCTTCAAAGCCATCCCCTCTCAGGGCACTGCAAACCCCGCACCGCCACCATCTCTGCGGTGTGCAGCAATATTTGGGGGTAACTTTCCAAATGACTGCTCATGCTCCCGCCAGCCCGGGGACGGCGGTTCCCAGACACTCTAGCTACCTTTTGAAATGTCACCGTGAATAAAACCCTCCCTCGGTTGAACCAAATAAACGCAAATGGGAGAAAATCCTCCTCCTCCAAACGCACAAACAAACAAAAATAAATGCAAGGACTGAAATTAGGGATAACATCCAAATAATGCCTTCCCCATTCTTTCTCTGATAGTATAGAAAATGGCCTTCTGAAGAGCTCAGCCTCATTAAAAATGGAATGGTAATACGAATGGAGGAGGTTGCATCGTATTTCCCACATTTTCCAGAGGTCAACATTTCATCTCATTCTTTCTTTCCTTTTTTTTTTTTTTTCCTCGATGATGAAATGTTCAAGGCATTTTCCCACCTTCCTTTCTCCCTTCCTTATTCCCCCCTACTTTTTTCCTTTTCTCTGTTTTGGTACCCACAGAATGCTGCAGAGACTGTCTGGAGAGGAGGGTGACCGAGCAAAAGGATCTCTAAATAGCAATGCCGAGCATTTATTTATTTTTTTAATTGTAGCAGGATTCCTTTGCAGGCAAATATTTTCAAAGGTCTCTTCACACTTGACAATCTGGATAATAAAAGACGCACTTTTAATCGCCCTTTGCTTGAAGTCCAGTTTTGGATCATGCTCGGGAATATATATGTTTAATGAATAATATTTCACATTTGCCTGTACAGGACCAAAGTGGTCATTAACTTGGAGATTGTTTAATATTTGCAACTAAAACGAATAAATAAATTCAGCAAAAAAAAAAAAAAAGTGGAATAAAATGAACCTGGGAGCAAACCAACAAAAACAACGAGCGAAACCCCGAAGATATTAAACAAAACCATCAACGAGCACACAAAAACACATACCGGTGTGGAGGGAAACCTGTTCTATTTTAAGCAACTTAGCATATATAGAATTTTTTTGACCCGCTCGTTTTTCGACAGCAGTTGTCCGACCACAAAATTAACGATCGGGCAGTGGGACTTGGAGATTTTTAAGTCATTTTTATTTGTTTAATCTCCCATTCGGCTAGATTCTTATTTCTTTAAGTTAGTGACGGGTTTTGTTTATTTTTAGGCTGCTCTGCAAATGGGAAAGCCTCCAAGTTCCCAAAGGGAGCTCTTCGCTTGTCCCCCTGATTTTCTGCAAAAAAACTTTCCAGGTAGATCTCTCGCAAGCCATTTTGTGCAGGTTCGTATTTCTCTGTCCCTCGGGGAGCGGGGAGGGGAGGGGGGTTTCTTAGCACTGGAGTCCCCAAATTGTCTGTGGAAAGCAATGCAGGGGATATCTGAAAGCAGATACAAATGCAATCGTTCGTGGGGACACAGAGGAGGGGAAACAAGGGGAAAGAATAAGAGGAGGGAAAAAAGCGAAGTATGAGTGAGCATGCACTGATTTAAGAAAACGAACAACGAAAGTGATTTAAGAGGAATAAGAATTCGGCTCCCTTTTCCTGCCAACCCCCCTGCCTCGCCACCGTGAAGAACCGCGAAGCTGCCACTGGGAAGGAGGCAGAGGCAGCGGGAGAGGAGCGGGGGTCCCTCCGCAGCCCCGAAACGCGGCCGTCAGCGCAGGTTATTCCGACATTCCGCTTCTGCATGCATGAGCCGGGCTCCGGTGCACACAACTTGGTACCGAATCTGGCAGTCCACTTACCTATCTGCACAGCAAGGATCAGAGAAATATATCTGCCGTTCAACTTAAGTCCCATCCTACATTTAGTAAAACCATTTGCGGCTGCAGATCTTTAAATAGTTACTTTGGAGAACGTGGGGGAAAGCTGAAAAATAGGCATTGCCAACAAGTTCCGAGCAGCGGAGGACTTTGCAGACAAGAGGAGGGGGGTGGGGGGGGGGGGGGGGGGGAGACGAGAGGAGAAAGAGAGAAAGAGGGAGGCAGAGGGAGAGGGCGAGGAGGACTAGCTGGGAATGGTTCGCTCCATTAGGAGGGGGCGGAGGAAGTACAGCCTCACGCCCACCACCGGCCCTGACGTGGGGGGACGACACGGACCGGGGCTTTTTCCCCCTTTTCCCTTTTTTTTTTTTTATTATTATTATAAATTGTGCATCTTGGAAGAGAAACGCCATTTATAGGCATCGCGGGCTGGATTTATCCGCTCTCCCCATGTTCCCCAGCCCCACTAATCGACGAGAAACTTCTCCCCCCCCCCCCCCCCCCCCCATCCCCTGGCTCCTCCTGCCCTGTGTGGCGGCAAGAGGGGGGGGGGGCAGCCGGGACCGTCCCCTCGGGGCGGGAGGGATGCGGGAAGGGATGGGGACACACACACGCACACAAACACACGCAAACACACGCACACAGACAAGCAGGCGGAGGAGCCGCCCCTCCGGAGGTGGGGATAGCACGGCAGAAACCCCCTTTCCATCCTCGCCGCCCCCGGGCCGCCCCGTCGGGGCTGGGGCCGGCCCGGCCCCCGTGCTGCGGAGCGGGGAGGAGGGAAAGAGAGGTGCGAGGGTCCCCTCCCCCTGCCCGCCCCTCCCCCACCATGACGTCATCCCCCAGGATGATGTTTGGGGGGAGCGGAGAAAGGGGGAACAAGTCACTCCCGGTCCTACAGCCTGTGCTCAATCCCGGTGACAGCAGCCTGGCTGCAGGACTGTAGAGGGTGGCGTGGGGAAAGACGTCGCTCGTGGGGTAGCCCTGGGGGGGACCCGGTGGGACCGCAGGATTCTTGCGGCTGAGGGCCACAGCACCCCATCCTCTGGGAACGGGATACAGGGCTGCGTGGAGGGGATGGCGCCTTCCGAGGCTATGCAGAGCCCTGGTCCGGACAGGCTCGGTCTGGGGTGTATCTGCAGCCTGACATTCTCCCAGGACGCTCCCCCGCAGGGCCATTCCTTCCAGCATCGTGAGAGGAATCTATAGGCGCCTGCATGGGCTTCTCTCGGTGCAGAGCAACCAGACAAAACCCCATCCTACAGCCTTCCCCCTGTGCTCTTCCACGGCAAAGTAATAGTCCCTCCAGCTCAGCCCTGACCTTCACCAGCCATCTGTAGCACCTCCAGGAGCCAAAGGGAGACTAGTTGTAGTGAGAACTACTGGTGACCTTCTCTCCTCCTGATCCGAGGTGCCCCCCTCTGAAAACCTGCTGTGCTGGCAGTGCTGCCAATCCCTGGGCCAGCTGGGCTATCGGTTGGTCCCTCTCTTTTACAAACCATCCATGACAATCCTTGGACCTCAGCGACAGAAGGACAGAAGCTGGCAGGCTGGGTCCCCATGATCCCCATGGGCAGCAAATGCCTGAAGTCCACCAGGGATTCAACTGCAAGTAAGGGAACTGGAAGGCAAGATGAAAAGCTTCCTTGCTGAGAGCTTCATTCACAAGATAGTGCCTCTTTAGGTCTACTTAATGTGAACAGAGGCAGCCTGTATGCCCATCCTCTTAAAGCCATAATGAAACCTCAACCTCTGTTTCTTCAACTGGAAAGCAGGTATAATACTGGGTAACTGTGTTAGCAGTCAGTTGGGGCTTGCAGATTTAAAAAACTGGCCTGTCTCCTCTGCACCTTCCCACTATTCCTTTTTGCTCCACCTTTTCTTCCTATTTATAAATCTCCACTATGGATGGTGAGATGAATTAGAAGTCAGAGCTGGCTGAAAACTAACCTGAGGAACTTAAAAAAAATGAAAGAGGTTCATTTTCAGCCAGCTGCCAGAGCCAGCTCAGCGTATGGACACATGGTAGTGAAGGCAGTTCAAAGCACAGTCAGTGGGTGCTGTGTCCCCTGGCAGATTGCCCTTCCATTCACTGAGCCATGAAGCTGCAGCCCAGAGTAGAGTTGTCTTCTACACACTCCTGAAGACATTGGTGGCAGCAAGGTGGCTAAGGCTAAGCTTCGGACTGTGCATCATCATCTCTTTCAAAGGCATGAAAGGTTTGGCTCCTCAGTTGGAGCTAAGGTAAAACAGTTTTACTCTCCTCTTTGCTGCTGTGGTAATGGGTGCTTTTGTAATGCAACAGAGAGACTGAAGTGGATATCAAAATGTGGAGCCCTGTCATTTTCCCTGGGAGGGTTAGGTTAGATAGCCCAGAAGATCTTTTATATCTCGCAGTCAGTGCATTATCAGCATAAAAAAGTAAGAGGATGAAAGGAGTGTAGGCTGAGGTAGTCGATAGAAACACTGAACCTACCAGCTCTTGGCAGCTCGGTCACTTGTGGCTGCATTTGCTGTTAAGAAGGACAAGACACCTTTGCAGGTGCATCAGGTTGTGGGGGCTGCAGCAGCAGGAACTTATTATTTCACTCCTCTGCCCTATTGATAGCAGTACTGGTTTATTTATATATTCATATCTGCTACGTTTTTGTCTGCTCCTTTTTTTTTTCTGAGGTGAGACAAGCTATAGCTGCAGGTTAAAGGTTGGGCTGGCTCCAGCAGGTTTGCATTGAACATGATTTTGACATTACACTATGTAAATCTGCTTTGGAATGAACTTCAAGGCAGTTTCCAATGCACAATCAGGAAGAGTTTAATATCTGGCTTTTGGTATACCCATCAGTGCTGAAATGGCTGGGGCCTCTGGCAAATCTGGATACAAATCTTAGAACAGGCATTTCTGAGGGATTTCTGGCCAACCAACAACAACAGAAGATCTAACAGCTAGAGGCATCAATTACAGGGGCAAAAAGGTCTTGGCCAAATTCCTCTAAATGTTCTTGACTGTTGGGGCAGTCCAGCTCTGTCTGAAATTCAAACCTGGCTCCTGCCTTACCACCTTCCCTGCCTCAGGAAGGGGCCCGTTGCGCTATAGATTCTGGACCAAAGCCAGCGGTTTCAGCCCATCTCAAATAGCAGCACTCTCAGCTCTGTTGGGAGCTGGAGAGCAGGATGGAGAGGGGATAGTTGTTTATCAAACTATCCTTTTTTATCCCCTTCTCCCCCCCCCCCCCGACATGGTATTAGAGGGTGCTTGAATATCAACCTGTCTCTAAGAGACATCTGTGTGTGTCTTGCTTAGTCCCTGTTAGGACAACTAGCTCATCAACTAGCACGATTTTGCCCTTATTTTTAAGAACCGGGGCTCTGTCCTGCCAGCAGCCTCATGCTCTGCTTGGTGGGGTTGGTTGGTGGCAGTGTCATCCCTTGTGATCACTGCTGTGACGGACGCAGACCGGCAGAGCCCACGACTGCTGGCCAGATATAGCTCTGCCAGAAAGAGTGGCGAGCGCAGCGTGGGCTGCACCGTGAGCCGGAGTGCCTGGGGAAGTATTTGGGTGAGCAGCCCTGCGCTATCACTGCCGTGCGGAGAGCAGCGTGCCGGGCAGCTGATTTCAAGCGAGCTCATCTCCATTTAAATCATCTACCACAAGGGGACCCACCGCATTTAGTGGATGCGTTTCTCATTGAGCTTTCAGCTGACTGTCATGGCTGAACCTCCAAAGAGGCAGCTGGCTCAAGGCAGCAGAGACAACTGCTTTCCCTGGCAAAGCTGGTTGCATCTCTGTGTTTCTGTTTCCTTTCATACTTTTTCTTTGTTTTTCTTTTTCTTTCTTTTTCTTTTTCTTTGTTTTTCTTTCTCTTTCTCTTTCTTTTTCTTTTTCTTTTTCTTTTTCTTTTTCTTTTTCTTTTTCTTTTTCTTTTTCTTTTTCTTTTTCTTTTTCTTTTTCTTTTTTTCTTTTTTTTTTTTTAATGCAAAATACCTCTTCAGGCAGTTCATAACATGGCTCTCCTCAGTTCACATTTGTAGGCTAGTAATAGGGATAAAAAGTAAATCTTTGGTGGTATCAGTCAGAGACTGAGGGTCCAGTGATCACGGTGGTATCTAAAAGTCCCTCCTATGGGTGTGTGAGAGATGTGTTCCCTCTCAGCTCATCCTGCAGTAACACTGCCTCTACCAGAAGGTGATGGTTTGCTTTTACTCTCCCTCATGATCAGCCTGAGATCTGGCCCTAGTGAAGCTGAGACGAAATAGGAGCCACTGACTTGAGTCTGTATCCTCTCATCTCGCAGGTCCCCTGAGAAGCAGGGACAGACTGACAGCTTTCCTGTCACGCAGAGGTGGCTGTCCTTGCTTGTGCTGTGGCTCTCAGCCCTTGGATGCTACTTTCCCTAGAGGAAGGTGTCCAGCCAGAAAAATACATGCAAATATCAAACCTAGCTGATAAATGTATAGCTGTTCACAGTGTGATCCTCCAAGATTTTATTTAAGCAAAAAAATGATGAGAACACACTGAAAATGTGACAGGTGGGATTAAAGAAATGCCTTTTGATAATGGTCAGGTTTCTAAAGCTTTTTGGGGTACCCTTGTTCATTAGACATCTGGTTTCATTGCTGGCTTGATGTGTCTGACTTTAGCTAAGCAGAAAAAAATTGAAGTTATGCACCCGAGACCAGAAGTTGTCCTGCATCTGCCTAAAAATTAGTACTAAAATAGTACTTGTGCACCATGAAAATCATTGACATTCAATGTCTGTGAAAATATATTTACGAAAATATAAACTGTTGCTGTGGTTCCAAAGATAAAACTGGGACAGAAAAAAAGTACATGACTCAGTGGATGTAAAGGGGATGTGATTGCTCAATACTGAAGCTTTGAAAAATGGAAAATGCTGGATAAGGTATTTGTAACCTATTTGAAACAGAAAATGATGACCTGATATAAACTTGTAAAGTGATTAGAATAATGCAATCTTCAGTCTCAGCCTCAGGGGTTTTCAAAGGGGAAAACCAGAATGCCAGACTTCACTAGGTTCATTTGAAAAGCTCAGCCTCTATGTTCATTCTTCAGTCATTTTCTCTTTTAAAAATCAGTCTTAAAAAAACAAGATGTCACTTGACCATGATCAGCTTGTGCCAGCCAATCTGGTAAGGAAAGCACTATTTATTACAGAAACATTAGTGTTTGCATTCCTCAGAGATATATTTTTAGGAAGGTGCCTGTGTGTGCACTCAAAATGCTGCATCTTAATAGCATGACCCTTTTATATGGGATGGTGGCACTGGCATTGCAGCTGAGCCCTGGCAAACTGAGGGGAGGCATTCACGCCTGCAGTGCTCTAGCCAGATGGAGTTCACACCCACTACAATTATGTTTGCAACACATGATTTGCTTAAGGTGCCTGTGGATGTTCCAAAGAGTAGGATGGTTTCAGTAAAGCATTCTCAGAAGAAAGCAGTATCAACCCTTAGC